AGGTTAATAGTTGAAATAAAGAAAATATATTTTGAAATATTTTCCAGTAATAAAATTTATATATGTATGATTTAATAATATATATATATATATATATATATATATATATATATATATATTATGTTAATATTAATTTCAGTACATAATATAATGTTTGTTATTTATTTTTATGACAATTTCTTGCTTGATTTGTGTTGAAAACATGACTTTTTAGATAAATTTATCGCTATTAAATCTAATAAAACAATTATGACACTACAACGAAACCCATCACCAAACGACTAAGAAATATCTACAATAATAAAAATATTTCTGTTAAAGTGAACAATGAGATTCATCGAGTTGTATACATCAATTCTTTTACACTTTAAACTTTTATCTTCTAAACTTTGGAGCAGACGCGATGTGAGGGATTTGGCAGATATAATTTACGTACAAACTCGCGAAGCAATAATTTTATCATATATGTATAATATGCTTAACAAGTTCAAGTATACCTTTATTACTTAAATGTAAGAGTGTCATTGATTTTGCTATTATAGGGGAAGTTCGAAATTAACGTTTTTTATGTTTTAAATTAGCACAATAGCAAAAAGATTTAGGATTACGGACTGTAAACTTAAATTTGTACCATCTATTTGACGGCTGTTGTGAACCGTTTAGTGGAAATGATAAAGAGAAATGTAAGAAGTGTTAGCATTTCTAGTATGAGTTTAGAAAAAATAAAATAAACTGGGAGCAATCGTAAATTGAACGTAGTAGAGCCATGCTATAGTTATACAGATGGTTGTAGCACGACTTTTCTTTTTTTTATAAGAAGAGGATGACAAACCAGCACACAGTCCACCTGATGGTAAGTGGTTGCTGTAGCCCATAGACATTTACATCTATTCTCGTTTACGAATCAAAAAACGCATGCGTTGTCACCCGTGAAGACTAAGATGGAATGCCTCGTTACAAGTAAAAAGGATCTCCGGTTCTCTACAGTCACCGTACGAAACACAGCAGCGTTAAGCTGATATTTTTCGGTGGTATTCTGTGAGAGCGTGGTCCTACCCCGGTTGAGCCGACCCATTCGTGCTACAAATACCAGTAATACAGCTGCAGCATGGCATTACCACATTAAGTAGCTATTTAATGGTACTGTGTTTCATATGGTGTGTGTAGAGAACTGGAAACCTTTTCTACTGTAAATATACATAAATTTAATCTTATTTCTCAAGAGTGGCAACGCATCTGCATTTTAATTTTTAATTGAGTATGATTGTAAAAGACAATGGGCTGCGAACTCCAATTAACATCAGGTAGACTTTGTGCTCCTTAGTCACCTTTATTTTATTAAAAAAAAATACGCCGTGAGTTCTAAAACTCGCGGCGTTAGATCTCATCATTTATCATGAGTTTTGAGTTCATTGAGTTTTAAAGAAAAACCCATATTTGTGTTAGTATGTTTATTAAAGATTGTACGAAAATAATTTTATCAGCAAAATTAAATAAAAAGCCAACCGACGCCCTCGAGCAAAAACGGGTAATGTACTATTATGGAGTTTTATTGTTATGTCAGATTCTTAATCTATAGGTTGAAATACACATGGATTTTTTCAAAACTATTAAAAGAGATATAATAAATAACACTTTTATCGTATGGAAATTCCAAATCAAACACAAAAACATATTTCTGTGTTTGATTTGGAAAATTACTAAAGTAAATGCGATTACTATAATTTTATAGTTTTATTTTTAGTAAAATCCATCAATAATGAGATCTAACGTTTTTTTACCAAAACTGGCTCTGTTTTTAAACCTAAACCAGAGACAAATTAATGCTTTTCGGCTCCGGTAAGTTTTTTTCTCTTTATTTAAGGAAACATATATCTATAACAATACATAATTAATTTTTAAATTGAGTTATTACAAAAGCCAGTTAATTTTTAACTAAGTAATAACTACTACTTTACCATTGGACAAAAATACTGAAATCCATTTTTTTATGTCACATTTTTTAAAGGTAAAAAGGGTAATAATGAAATAAAAGGTGATAATGAAAGTAAACGTTAAACCTAGGGACTATGTAAGTTGCTTGATGGCAGATATAAATTAAAAAATGTTCAAATTAAGTATATTTAAAGTATTATATACTATAGACTAATCCTAGGACACTATTGTTATTTTACTCAATAAGTATGGGGAGTCAATATAATTATTAAGGACTTTGTACAATTATAAAACACCGCGGTGCTCCCGTCTGGTTTTGAGATTAGTTACTAAATTTGCTGGAATTGTTTTGAACTTATATTTTAAGCGTTTCAGGAGCATATTTTGGATAATTTGCAGGGCGTCCTTATAAATTGAATATTGCGGATTCCACACAGTTGAAGCGTACTCAAGAATCAAACTGACCAGACAATTACCTATATAAAGTTACAAAAGTAGATTTTTTTTTTAAAGTCTATTGTTTGTCGAAACAAGAAACCAAACATTATAAAGCCTTTGGCTGTAATTATGTTGTGAATGTATGTCTCTTAACATATCCGATAATATATTATCATAATCATAAGCATTATATTGAAAACGAACGGATTACGGTTGCGAACCCTAACCATATAATATAGCATTCAACTAACTTAGGGCCCCAAATTCCAACTATTATAATTCTCAGAAATATATTACACTGCCCAGAAGTGGGACGTATATAGGCTGTAATATTAACTTTATATTAAAGAAGATGAAAGTACTATAATATAATGAAGCCTGGAAATAGCGTGAGGCTGTATATAAAGCCGCAAAAATATAAATGCTACATTATGTATTTATATTAATTATTTATATAAATATTAGATCCTACGAGATAATATAAGTATCAACAACAATAAAGTATCAACCAGAGACTCTTTTTACTGGAAGAGAGGCACTCTATCTTAGTCCTCACGGCTCACAACGCATTGTGCATTTTGATTCGCAAACGAAGATAGATGTAGATGTCTATGGGCCACAGCAACCACTTACCATCAGGTGGACTGTGTGGTCGTTTGTCACCCTTATTTTATAAAAAAAAATCAACTATTGTAAGGGGGAGATTGCTATGATAAACGGGTTGTATGCTAGGCGGATACAGTCTTATTACAATAATAGTCTCGGGTTTGAAGACGTGTCTACGTTATGAACGAATTCCCTTCAGCGGCGCCTTGCCGTATTTATTACACATAATTATGGTGCCTTAGTGCCCATATTCCTCGCGAAATTTGACTTTTCGTTGTCCAGACACATACTTTACATTATAGAACATACTCTAGTTTAAACCTAAGACTAATTAAGAACATTTTTTGTAATAAGATGGATTTAGTCTAAAGAACATTTTTTTTATTAGACTTATGATAAATGAGCTACGCCATAAAGATCTGAAACATATTACATTATTTGTTTCCTTTAATTTTCAGAACTTATAACTTACTGCATTTTCATAATCATAACCTATACAAATTGAAGTGTTTGTTTGTAATCTCAAACAGTTTTTTACTAAATGCATATGAAGCTACATACCATACTTATCACAAAAAAAAAACAATTCTCAAAATTTTTGTCTGTCTGTCTGTTTGTTTCGGCTAATCTCCGAAATGGTTAGACTGATTTTGATGGGACTTAAACTTGCAGATAGCTAATGTTATAAGGAGTAACTTAGACTACTTTTTCTCAGAAAAATTGTTAGGGTTCCGCGCAAAAAAAATAAAGCCCATACAATCCATTCGTAATAAATTCCATGCGGACGAAGTCAGCAGGAACAGCTAGTCATAGTAGAATATTAATTTTACATTAGTATTATGTCATAACGAATTGAAATCAGTCAATTAAAACGAAGCCTTTGAGATGAGGAGATGAAAGAGGGAATTTTACGAAACTTGTAAAAGGAAAGTATTATTCATAGTAGAAATTGTAGGACTTAAGTCTTATCAGCAATTTTCGAAGAACCTTTTCTACTTTGTGAGTGTTACACTCGCCGCTATGTATTAAAATAAGTTAATAAAAACGATGAAATCCGAGTATTAATTTTACTTTTTTATATATTAATATATTTAGATAATAGTGGTAATGGGATGCTGTGGTCCATAGAAATCTACATTTTATTACTCGATTAAGAATCAAAATAAAGATGCGTTGTCATACAGAACGACAAAGGTGGAATGCCTCATTTCTAGTAAAGGGGGCGAACGATTAATTAAAAAAATTGTGATGTTGATACACTCAGAGTCCAACGGTGATTAATATTAATTATATGTAATATTTATTATTAAAACATAAGATTTATATTAAAACATAAGATACATATTAGGTGTCGTAAGAGGCGACAGAGGGAAACAAACAAGGCCTGGGCAGCGAACGTATTCCTAATAACTACTAAAAAAATAAAAAACTGCGGTTGCTAGACCGCCTACTAAGCATAGAAACTGTAGCAATATTTCCTTTACAATAATTGAGGCTTGCGTCTAGAGACTTTTGGCAGACCAAACGGAGTAACGGAGCAGCGGTGAATAAATACCTAATTTGTCATTTGCTTTGTATTGTGGAGAAAATTTATTAATCATGAGTTCAATTTTTCATTTGTGCTTTCTATTCTGTTTGTTTCAGGTACTTGTTAACAAGTGACGTAAAGTGATCCTTCCTCTCGAATTGCGAATTTCCCCTTAAGTATTATGGTGTGTCAACGCTTGAATTCTTCTTATTGTTGTGAAATTATAAACTTTATTGCATTCTATTTCTTTTCTATAACTATTCTTAGAGGTTAATATTGTAGTTGCAATATAAGTGTTTATGAGTGTTAGTTGTGTATATTACTAAGTTATAAGCCATGTTAACGATTCTCAGTGTAACCTAAGTGCTTTCAGTGTAAATAAAGTCAGTGTTTGAAACAGTAACTGTTTAAAGTTCTAGGCGTGTAGACGACGCGACAGGGACGCACTATGCTCTCACACGGTTAGAACGTTATATTTAGTAAATCACTAAGGATGTCGCTGCCGATCAAGCGATCCTTTAGTTCTGAAGGCGGTGCTTCGTCTAAAAGAGACTGGAAGATGAGGCTCAGCCTTCGGAGTCGCAGCGGACACAGCGTGGTAAGTACATATGGCATAATTTCATTAAAATTACAACCTAATAATAATATTTTGGCCGCAATTGAAACCTATGTCAGGCATAGCTCAATGAATAATAATCTAGAGTAGCAAAGGGCTATATAGCGCGAAGAATCTAAAACCGATGAGGTAAAAATATTCCCGACCCGAGGAACCTGTAAACCGTACTTGTAAATGCTAAATTTAGCAAATTTAAATTATATAATTTTGTAATCTAATAATGGTGTGACAACCATTATAATTTTTCAATTATTTCTTGGCTAAAAAAATACTTGACCCATGTTCGGATTCGTCTTTCCTTGTGTGTTGCCGTGGGAAAGAAATTGTAAATCTATACTACTATACGCTACTAAGCCGTCAAAATAACATGCTCGTAATACACTTTTAATAAAACCGTTTTTAGGGATTTCATCTAGTTTAACTTTCAATTCCCGACATTTTAAGTGCTATTTCATTAACTTTGTATACATTACAAGCTAAAATTAATATCAGTAAAATTACTTACGTTCAATTTATAACTAAGAATTTTATTCTAATTTATTTCGATTGCGACCGATATAGTTTAACGAGTACTTTGCTGTATCCACAGTCATGGGAACCGAGTTGTTTAACGTCCTGCTCTGTTAACCCCGGCGACCTTCACCTTTTAATTCTCAATTTTTTGTCCGATTTACTTTGAATGAGATTTAGCGATGGGTCGCCAACTTATTTTTCGCTAACGTAACTAGACCGTAGATTTTGTTTGTTGACTATTTAATTAACTAGTTGAAATGTTTATTTTTAAGTTGATGAACGGTTATCTCGGTAAATTACATTTGGATGAACTTCCTTTTTTAATTATTTCAGGCTTAGGACTGACTGAATAGGATTTATCAAAAATTGCTTACAATCCTTTAGAAAAATTATTAGATTTATGTTCCCAACTTTATTTAAAATTTATCCATTTATCTATGTATGTAGTTAAATTAGTAAACGACCGCGTAGACGGTCAACCGTCGACGCGTCGCCAAAAGATTAACCGTTCATTCAACTAGTCGTTTGATTCAACGCCCATCGCTAGTAAGATTACATTATCTTACGGTGGCAGTGATATGTTTGGGTTTGGATTTAGTTTTATTAATTATAGGACCGCAAATATCAGATTATCTTCATGAATCATCCATGTTGGTCTATTAAAATTATGATGGGGCGACGTTAGACTTAGTAGACAGGGTTTCACGCCAGCTGTACGTTCTTTTACGAATATATGTTTTTAAATGTGCTCTTATATTGTAATTTTATACAGTTATCAAAGGTTTTTTGTAAATTGTAAATACTAGATACTATTGTTTTGTCAGCATCGTACCGGCAAGCGAAGTGTAGGGCGTCCCCCCACTAGATGGAGTGACGACCTGGTAAGACATGCAGGAAGACAATGGATGCAAGTGGCTCGGACCGTGCTTTGTAGCGTTCCTTGATCAGCAGTGGACTTGTTGACTGTTATTATAATTCTCCTTAATTTAAAAAAAAGAAGTAGTTCACAATATTACTCGAATGGCGGATCCAGTCTATAACTTTTTAAGCTTTCTAATCTGTATTCTCTACTATTAGGTTACTATCGCTTGTAATCTAACATAATGTGTAGATAATGTGATTAACGTGTCAAGAGGCAAAGTTGGTTCTGAATACGCTACTTGTTTGTGCTACGCTCTAATTAAAGTTGAAGTAGTTTACAATGTTTGAGTACGATGTTTAACTTCATAGGTAGTATAAAACATGGAAAACGTATGAGCTATCCCAAAGTGATAATTTTTGGCTAGTGTGTGTATAGCAAAAATCTAATGACATTTTAGGGACTCATAAAATGGACCGTTTACTTTTTTTAAGGTGATTTTATGTGAGCCACTTTTATTTGAATGCTTCGAGATGGTAGCTCGTTCTGAAATTGTCGATCTAAATTTAAATTTATGAGTCTTCGTTTTAATATATTCTAATTCGACAGGCAGCCGTTGGTTTTCCCTTTACCGTATAAATATTACGTCAAAATGATTTCAATCGGCCATGTCATTCAGAAATTACATGATCACTCGCAGACACACCAACGAACGATTATAATGGTAGTACGTATTATAATTATTATTATTAGGTAGCGAGGTGATTAAGAGTGTTTAGTTAGGGCGCCATGAGGCCGTGGGTTCAAATCAAGTCCGAAAACATAGATCAAGAGTTTGTTTTGTCACTGATATGTAGGCTACGCGCAGTAAATAAATATAAAAGTAAATATGTAAAAATATTTAGAAAAGGTTATCAAACGTTGCAGTCTGTAAAGTAATAAATCGTCATTGACTATACTACAATTGACGGCTCCATGGCGCAGTGGCTTAGCAATGAGTTGCTGCGCTGGGAGGCGCGGGTTCGAATCCCGCACGGAACAAGTATTTGTATGGCCTACAAATGATTGTTCCGGGTCTGAATGTTTGTCCTTGTGAAATTTGTGTTTGTAAACTGCCTCCACGATACAGAAGAGAATCCTAGTGTAGAGTAACGTTTTTTCAAAAAAAAAGAAAAATAGTCATCAGATCATAAGGAGGCCCCTATCGGAACGTCTGTTTAGTGGACAATAAGCCTGTCGGCATGCTTCTGCTCCTCATCAGGATCACGCAGAAGCGTGCCGACAGCCAAGCCAAGAATACGCAGCAGCAGATGTCTCCGAAGTCGCAAGGCACAGCTCGAAGGAGTGCCTCCACCGCGGCCCGCGTGATTTTTCTGAAATCCACTTTTTCTTGGAGTACTCTAAAAGTCGAAGTATCGTATATAAAACAGTAGCAAATAAAGTGAGCCTTATAGTTAATTATATATATTTTTTAGCTGGCATCCGGCGCGTTCCTGCCACAGAACAAATAAACCTACCAAGCTAACAGCATAGCAAAGTGGCGAAGCAATCAGCTTTGTAGCGGTTTCTAACGGTTGCCGTTGAGTAATCAGTTACAAAATAGGAGGTTCAGATGCCTGGGTGATCAGTAATCGATTGCTGAAAACAGAATTTGAAAATTCGAAACCGTTCTCGAGATAATCGTGGGACAGACGGACAGACGGACAGACGGACAGACGGACAGACATCGTGAAATCAATAAGTGACTTCGCAAGCTTCGCCACTTAATAATTGTGGAAATATTGTTTTAAATTTTGATGAGTTATATTGTTTAATTAGGAATGATAATCTATTCATTGAAGTTGAATGTTATATAACTTTCAAATAAATTTATCGGTACGATATGAGCGTCACCTCCGTAACTTATTTGTAGTATGCCTATAACCTACGCGCAAGTGCAAGCAATAAGTTGAAAAAGTTTTAGCGCAATCTGATGGTTGGTAAACAGCGCATAAAATAAGAACAAACAAAAATTATTTTTATAAATTACGTGTCACATTGTTTGTCCGCGATGAACTCTTAAAGTATTGAACTGATTTCAATGAAATTTTGCACACTCTGTGCAGTTTGGGCCAACTTGAGAGATAGGATAGTTTTTATCTTGATAAGTGACGCTCAATATTTTTTTAATACGAATTTAAGGATTTTTTATATGAAGTGTCGTAGAAAATGGCAGAACAACGTCTGCCTGGCCAGCTAGTATATCCCATTATTTGTGAAAATTTTCTATCAGCCCTAGGGACACACAAGATTTCCATTCTAATTCTGTTTCACATTTTCATATATTATTTTCATTACAGCCTATCAAAAGTTCACTGCTGAACATAGCCTTTCTCAAAGATTGCCTCATGAAGGGGATATTTGCCGTAGTTGGCATGCTTGGCAGAAGTTTGGCAACCTCTGTTTTTAATTTTTATTTGTTATTAAGAAGAAAGAAGGAAAGGAAGACGCTACTGCCTTTCTCCTGTTTTTTTGTCTTATAAGAAACTTACAAAAGTATTATATAAAAGACAGCATACTAAAACAGAATTAAAATATAAAAGGGTAGTAGGGTACAAGATATTTACAACGTTACAGGCATCATCATCATCATCATCACAGCCCTTCATAAGTCCACAGCTGAACATAGGCCTCCCCCAAGTATTCCTCAAAGCACTGTTCTGAGCTACCTGCGTGTCTTACCAACGTTATAGTATCACATACAAATAATTGTTCTATATCGGCTCTAAATGTTGATAATACACGTGTAATTTAAACCACCAACAATTTTACGCACCAACCTCGGCACACCCCGATCAGGAGGTGGAGGAAATGTATGAGGATATCTCTAGAGCCATGCATTCCTCCAAAACCCAATATACGGTGTTAATGGGAGACTTCAATGCAAAACTAGGCACAAGAGAGAACGGTGAGCTGAAAGTAGGGAAATTTGGAATAGGGCAACGGAACCCAAGGGGCCAGCAGTTGGCTGACTTTATGGAGTAAGAGGGACTCTTTATGATGAACTCTTTCTTCCAGAAGCGGCCCCACAGAAAGTGGACCTGGTCGAGCCCCGACGGTTCGACAAAAAATGAGATTGACTTCATTATGACGACCAGACGACAACTGTTCAGTGATGTCTCAGTGATCGCGAGGGTGAAAACCGGCAGCGATCACCGAATGGTTAGAGGCACACTGAACCTAAACGTTAAGTTGGAGAGGTCTCGTCTAATGAAGTCAACGCTCCGTCCCCCTCGTGCTCTAATCCAAAGTCCCGAAACCTTTCAGCTCGAGTTACAAAACCGTTTTCAGTGCCTAGAAGACTGCAATGAAGTGGACGATTTGAATGACAAGCTCGTGGAAACTGTCCATGCGGTCGGAGCTAAGTTCTGCAAGACCCGCCGCATAAGAACACAAAAACTCTCCGATCACACTCTTAACCTCATGGCTGTTAGACGGGAGATGAAGCTACATTCTTCAACAGATTTAACAGCATACAGGCAACTGAACAGACAGATCTCCAAATGCATGCGGCGGGACTTACGCAACTTCAATACAGCTCGTATTGAAGAAGCGATCGAGCGGAACCAAG